GTTGAAAGCGGTATATATTATTAGCTTATCGCAGGCGCAATAATTTATGTTCGTCTTTGACATTAATTTATGTTACACGATGATACCCCGAAAGGCGACCGAGAAATATCCGAAATTTAAAATAAGGCGGAGAAATAACGAACACGTGATGGGGTATTGGCCAATGACAATGCGTATATCCAATTTCGTTATCTGGCCATGCTCGTTGACCAAGAACTGTCGAATCTGAAATATATCAAAACTTGTATTGATTTGCATCGTTGCTCGCCAGCAGTGAATTTTCGACAGCAGAGAAACAAATACATTTGCGAATGCTGGACACAAAATACAGTATTAATAATTCATGAAGGAAATTCAAAAGAAATGAATGTTTAATTAATGTATGTAAATCGTCGGATAATAGATTTGTAAATTGTCCTCATTTACATAAACTTCAGCTTCGATTTTCTCGGCTTAGACAATGTTTATTTTAAAATTACTTCGCCAATGAACTCATATGATGGGTCGTCTTTTAAGCACGTTAAAACACGAGCAGCCGATGTTTATCTGATATACAAACTCTCGCCATTGTCCCCAGTTTTAATAATATATTCTAATGTGACTCCATTGAACTAATTATAGTAGATCAAATATAATTCAACGGTAAATCCGAAAATAATAAAAAAAAATTATTTTCTACAGTATATTATATTATAATTTGTTGTTCTACAGTATATTATATTAAAATACTCAGTGGTTGCCGTAATAGTAGGTCTCATTTTGTTTCCGGTTTGTTCCTAGCAACATCAAATGTTCCTAGTAACAGTCAACCAGCATCAGTGGATAATAGTTCGGCCGTTTCACTCCCCTCTTTATTTTTTATTATTTCTCCGCCTTCTTTTAAATTTCGGATCTTTCTCGGTCGCCCTTCGGAGTATCATCGTGTAACATAAATTAATGTCAAAGATGAACATAAATTATTGCGCCTGCGATAAGCTAATACCGCTTTCAACATTCAAAATGGCGGCCGATGAAAATTGAAAACATTTACATGTAATTAAAAGGTTAGTATAAATTTACACAAATATTTCTGGCGTGCTCCCTTGCATAGACATAGTGCATCTGTTATTCATTAGTTTGGTTTTATTGGTATATCAAACGAAGCTTTTGCAGTTTTCTGCTTTTTGCGGAAAATAGAAGTCACAGAATCCTCGAAGTCGATGGACAGGGTAAAATTTCAAATCCTCAAAGTTGGTTACAATCTTCCACTAGCTGACATCCTGCTGCTAAATATATCTGATTCAGACTGAATATACGCATATGAGATATAATTACAAAAATTATTAATTATTATGTATTTTTGAAATTAGATAAAGGCTATGAGAGCGGAGACTGGACAATTCCAACAATGAAGTTAGATCAACATATCCAAAAACTTGAATATGGTGACGAAAAATTTTCCAGAATCACATATCGATTGAAGCTGGAACGAAGACCTGGATACTTCATCATGTATCTTATTGTACCCACTGTTCTCATATCTTTGTTGGTCCTCTTCAGTTTTAAAATTCCGGTGGACAGCGGCGAGAGAATCGGATTGTGTACAACAGCTTTGTTAGCCATGAGTGTGTTCCTGCTCTTGATCGGTGAACATTTACCAGAGTCTTCAGAAAATCTCCCACTTCTTGCTATCGCCTCTGTCCTAATAATGATTGAAATCACCTTGAGTTTCCTTGGCACCATTGTTGTCCTAAAGTGCCACTATAACACGTCCAAACCACCCAAGTTCCTTAAAGTGTTATGTTGTATTAAGCGAGATGCACAAGCAACACCCTCGATCGATGCGGATAACTTGGATCCTAATGCGAAACAACCTACGGTACACGCCTTATTACAAGCACAGATGAGTATGATAGACAAAAAGGAGGATAGATATCAACAAGAATGGAGGAAAATCGCTAAAACTATGGATAAAATATTTTTCTATCTTTTCCTCACTACTCTGGTTGGTACTTTAGCTGGTGTTTATATTCTGACGCCATACATTGTAAAATTGGAACGCGATCTCTAAACTTCACTCCTTAATTGGAATAAACCAAAAGGAGGTTCATCCGATTTCTTATTTGACTTGTTGATTATTGACAAGAGTGTCGACACATGGTTGATTCTGTGCATATTGGCTATTATATATCACTGGTTGTTGTACATGCGGACTGCATGGTCACTCTCATATTTTTCAAAATATCATAATACATTGTCAGAATAGTCAGGAAAAGTTTAACTTTTCAGGAAAAGCTTAACTTTTCATAAGCATTTTATCACTCTAATTTCTAAGCATTTTATCACTCTAGAGATATTTAGATTCACTGAAGCGGTAAATATAATATATAGTTGAAAATGATTGATTTTACAGTTATAACAGCGTAATGATACTGCGCGTAATTGAAGTATCTAAAGACTAAATGTAGTTGAGTCAACTGAAATTTAAGGGAACCTAGACCTGCATGTGAAACAATTTATTTCAATCAACCTGGCGGACTTTTAAGGGCGCTTTCCATTAACATTGTCAGACCGATCAGTGTTCACCGCCATTACATTGAAATGGAAAACGCCGTAAGATGAGGGGGCGAATGGGGAACCATGAATGGTTCGACGATAGTTGATTGTTTGTAATCATGCATGTCTTTTCATTCACAATGTATTCAATAGTATACAAATTTAATCTGTATCATATATGCCGTTGTATCATATATTCGCTACCATGCACATATTATATATATTATGTATCGTGGAAGTGGAACTGCATGACACATGTAGACTTTAGAACTTAGAGGTATTGTAGAAGACAGGATTTATTCTTGTTATATTTCTTATTATTGTCATGCAATATTTTACTTTAACTTAAGTGGGTAATATGTGAGTATATAATGCCTGCATATTTTTCATGTTGTTTATGTATTCAGTGGCCAAGATTAAGAGCGTCCGTGGGAAGAAACAAACATGCATGTGTTGATAATAGATAATGTTCTTTGACTTTGTAGTTCAAGGTTAATTGGATAAGCGTGATTGTATATTCAATCTTCTTAAATATGGATTGTTGTAAGTATCACATGAATGTTTTATTATGTTTGAAAGTGAAGTGGCTATAAATAAATTAAAAATTTAGTTATATGTATTTTTGCACTATCTGAGCTAATAAGAACGATGAATCAAAAACTGCGAATTTTTAACCCGTGATTGTTACATAAATATAATTTCGTTGTTGTCATATAAAATCTAATCAGTGCAAATTCTTTTTGTTTTTTGTGAAGATCGACGGGGGAGGGGTGGGTTATATAAATTACTTCCTGTGAAAAAGTGGGCTTATTTGAGGGGGCTTCCTATGAAACGGGATGCAGTGGGCCCGGTCACAGGCTGGGGGGAAAGGGGCTGCATATAGTGGACAATAACATCATAACATTGTCTAACAAGTTTGAAACGTTGCACTATTTTTATAGATAAGCACTTCATGCGTATGTGTGGTTTCTGACCGCCATTACGCTGAATGTTTAAAATTTAAATTAAGGAGGCTCCCTACAGTAGCGTGCGGGATGTTCGCGGGACCAGTACGTGACTAGTCCCACGCAACCGCATGATCAAAACAAAACAAAAATTGAGTGGGCTTTTTTTATAAAAAGCCATTTCTGAAAGGTTTCTAATGGAAATAAGCGTTGAATAATACTTCGTTTTGAGTGCCAAATCACTTGCGAGTCTATACATGCAGCAGTTCTACATATGATACGAATATCACTGACCAAAAACTAGCTACGAAACAATGTTTTTTTTAAATTTTACACTGTCAACTGTAAAACATTTGCCAAATTAGATACAAACGTTTAAAAAGTTGTTTACTTCTCAAGAAAACGTTAACGTTTTTAGTCGTGCTTCTACAAGATTAAAGTGATTATATGTAAACAGAAAAATATTTCAGTTTCATGGCCTAATTGTTCATTTTTAGCAAAAAGTACAAAACCAAACATGAAACAAAAAAACCACGTCCACCTGTTAATAGGCTGTTACAGCTCATAGATTGAGTGAACGGCAGGGTTCGATTAGCTTCAACCTTAAAGAGGTTTTGTTGTTTTCATCAATTTGATCCTTCACAATAATCCTTGGCTGTCCATGGCACTCAAATAAATCGAAAAGTTGACAAAAACAAAACAGTAAAAACAACATTGCCGCTCAGTTTTGCCATAGATTATAGATCATACAATCTTAGACTATCATCTGTGATTTTGCTGAATGAAAGCTCGTTCTGCACCCGCGTACGATCTTTTACTAGTCAGCGACGCTTTTCAATAAGGGGAATTGCTCGAGTTACACGAGGCTATTTTCTAACTTAGTTGCATTTTACTCATTAGTTTCATCGGTGACCTATCTTCAAATTTTTACCACGAATTTATTTTGCGGTAAATTTTATAAATTTCAATTTTTAAAAAAATCTGTAGTGTGGAAATTTCGCAATAAAATTTTCGCTTTTAAAAAACTCACACCTGACTACAGAGTTTTTTTAAACTTTCACCACAGTTGCAGAGCATCATTCCCTATTGATATAGGAAATAAAAAAGATAGCCGGTCACCGACATCGTTTTTGAGATAGCGGCACATTTATGGGTTAAATTGGAAGGCTTTATGCTGTCGTCATGTTGCCTTGGGAACACTGACGTTATCGAAATCTAGTTCGAAATATTCCTTAGGCTTATAGGTGACCAATATTCGTCAACAAAGTCGAAAAGAATTCGCGTTCTGCACGAATAAACTTGTTTTACGGAATTATTGCGTAAACAAGAATAACTGTAGGGAGCCTCCTTAATGATAAACTATATGAATGCATTTTCCACAAATAACTGAATTTACGCGGGTATTTTATATGAAAAATATTGCACGGGAAGTTGCTGCATTACAAAGAGCAAAAACGGACATCACTTAAAATTTTAACAATAAACGGCACGAAAAACAGCAGTGGAAGCAGTTGTTGAGTGCAGTACTGAACTACCTGAAAATTGGCTTCCACTTACTTTTTTAATTATATTAAATTAAACAGGGATTTTTTTATGAATTATAAAAAGGAGACTAACTATACGGTCGTATGGTTGGATCTTGAACTTGAACTTTAGTAAAGGATTACACAGATTACTGAACCAGTATTTTACATTGCATGTGGTCCAAAAATATAAATAGTTTAAATTACAATATCTACATATTTCAATTAGAATATCTGTGTGCCTGAAAATGATCACAACTTTCATTTACTAAAAGTATGTTATACTAAATAACGCTCACTGATGAACTCATTTTTTAGCCTCTGCATTGGCTTGACTCAGGTGGCGTCGAAAATGGCGTTTTCAGGCTTTTCTCTACCACTCTTCTCACTATATGTAAAACCAACGTTACTCACGGCACCAAATAAGCTTATTTTACACGTCGGAACCAATGATCTATACAAAGCTTGATGCCAGATGAATTGTTGACACATATATATGTACAAAAGCTTGGAGAGCGCATTACTCGGGAAAACAGGAATATAGAATTACTCAGTTTATTACAGAAATCATAACAAGAAATAACGATAAAACATTGGCTGATGAGGTAAACGAATATAACAAAGGGATTAGCCCAACTATGTATAGAACAAAATTGGTGTCTTATCAGGCACAATAATATTGACGTAAATCATTTAAATATTAACTACGGACAGCAAAAAAATAGAAAGCAATTTCTTAATAGGAATTGACTATAGGTAATGATAATAATAATGCCATAAGACGCGATAATAATCGACAAAGATATTTCTGATAGTCCAATACGCTGCACCTCGAAGAAAAGCCCAAAAATTCCTTTCCAAATTAATAAGTCTTATCCAAAACTAAAGGGTTAGTACAATCAAAATAGAAAATAGGTCAGAAAAAATTAGTAAAAAGCCAAAAATTAGTATGCATGCACTCTCTTCAGCAACCTTGATAACATACTAAGAAGAAGCATGTTCTTTAAGGTAGGCAATGTGTTATTCAAATATCTCGTGATATAATAATAATAATAATAATAATAATAATATTTTTTTAAACCTTTACAAATCAATTACATATCCTGACCCATATAGTCATACATTTATGAGTCCAGACCAAATTTTACCTAACTACACTTAATAAATAAGACAACAGTTCTCTGGATAAAGCAGGTCCAGGGCCTTTTTTAACATAATCACATTTTGCCCCCAAACAAACCAGCGAAGATTAACAAATACATAAACGGAAAGTAAGTTTTAGGCTTTATCCTTTGTCCTTGTTTAACAAAATCGATTTAAATTGTTACTTTTTTCTACCACTAAGTAATGATAAATTATTGTTAATAATTTTTTATTTTTTGGATGCTCAGAATGCAGGAAATAGCATTTTCAGGTTTCAAATTTCAAAAATTTTCTGGGGATTATCCGTCTAATAAGTAATGATAAATTACAGTTAATATTCTTTTTTACTTTTTGTGCATATTTTCCATCTTTTATTTCAAATACAAGTTTTGTTAGCATAAATTTTAGAGCAAATTTGGATGCTCAGAATGCAGGAAATGGCATTTCCGTGCTTCAAATTTCAAAAGTTTTCTAGGAGAGTACACCCCCACACACCTGACCATTGCCATCCTCCTCCAAGTCCTCTAATAAGTAACGATAAATGATGGTTTATTTTGTTTTTAGTTTTTGTGCGTTTTTTCCTTTATTTATTTTAAATACAAGACAGTATAAATAGACCTTATTCATAAATCGTGATGAGGCCTCGTATCCTAGGAAACGAGAACAAAACGCGGGAAAATTGACAAAATGGTTTTTTTTGCTGTCGGCTATGGCAGCTTTTTTTCGTGAATATTACGGCTTTTTTCGAAAATATATCTATAAAATTGAGCTTGAAAGTTGAAAAAAATACTTCTGAGAAAATATAATATGACATTTAAAGCAAATGATGCTGGAGTCAATCGAAAAAGGAAACCTTTGACTTTGTATTATTGTCGTAGTTTGTATGGCCGAAACAAACAACCAACAAGGCTACAAAACGTCTATACAACACCAAAATCGTAAGAAATATGAAACAATTGTTGAAGAAATAAGATTACAACTCACTCAGGTAATGTAGCCTTCATTTTTTAAACTTCGGTAAGCTCGGTAAGCTGCTTGCGGAATGTTATCGAGCCACAGTCATAGTTCATATTTTTCCGTACGAATCAATAACATTTGACGTTCTCTTGTGATTTTTGACTGTTATTTTCTTTCATATTTATGTCAAATTCGAAAAATTATACTTCCATTCCATAGTTGTCTTGATTCTTCACGGAATAAACCTTTATATTGACGTTAAAATCTCAGTAAAATACTGTTTTTCGCTTCTGGATAAACACCATCGCTACGTTGTCATTTTTTCCACACAAAAACGGGAGAAAAACCGGTCGCTTTTATAATATACTCGTTTACCGCTTTCGTTGTGGGCACAAAGTCTTAAAATACACACAAAAATCGTTATAAATCGCAAAAAGCAACAAGAAACAAGCCGTTAAAGTCGACACAAAAGCATCTGAATTTGGCTTGTCAAGCAGTTTTCGCTTGTTTTCCCGCGTTTTGTTCCCGTCTCCTAGGATACGAGGCCTCGTCACGATTTATGAATAAGGTCTATAGTTAGCATAAATTTTGGACCAAATTTGGATGCTCAGAATGCAGGAAATGACATTTCTGGGATTCAAATTTCAAAAATTTTCTGGGGGAGTACTCCAGACCACCCCCATCCATGCGTGGTATATTGGCCACACACGTAGCCTTCAGCCATTGCTATCCCCCTCTAATATATTATCTCACAGAAAAGTCCCTTTTCAAAAAATGCCCCCCACGGGAAAATCCTTAAAAAAGGCCCTGAGCAGGTCCGTTATCTACACTGTCACACATTAGTAGCTAATAGAAGTTGAGCTTTTCAGGACAAGACCAGTTCTTATTTCTCTTACAAAATATGTAGAAAGTGGCACGAAGTGCAACCTCCATACATTTTGTTATGATACGATCGTCTTGCAAATGTAACAACCTACATAGCCTACGAAATTGGCCTATACTCTTCGTGACGAAGCCTAGAGTAGTGACTTCCAAAGTTATAACTTTAAATCTATCACACGGTACGAGTAACTGTCAGTGGCGTGCTGGGTACTATTTTTCTGGAGGGGCCAGTGGGCTGTCAACCAATATGCGCCCCTATAATGTTACACTTGATAAACGAGGGCCGAAGGCACGAGCCGAGTGCCGCAGGTGCGAGGTTTGTGTAGGGGAGTCCGGGGGCATGCCCCCCAGGAAAATTTTTGAATTTAGAGTCTCTGAAATGCCATTTCCTGGACTTTGGGAGAAGATTTGGCAGAAATCTGATGGTCAGGAAACGGCATTATAACGCGTCGAAATTTGCAATTTGATTAGAATTTAGTAGTAGTACTTAAATTATGCAATGATAACTACTTCCAGCGATTAATTTAATCCCAATTCTGTTCTCTACTGATCTACTGTTCTGAGCACATTTACAACTTAAAGCTCTTTTATACAATAACACACGCACCCCACGCATATGCATTTCAAGGTTTCCTTGCCTGGCTGCCAAAAGGGCATGTTTCAGCATTATTTCATTACTTACATTACTCATGCTTCTTGTGCAAACAACTAAATTGCGTACACAACTTTACATCAGTTATCATAACTTCAACTATCTAATTTGCGCCGCCCTCGTGATTCGTGAAGCATATTATAAGGGCATAATACCAGCAAAAAAGGGCATAATTCCCTGATCGCTTCGATCGAAACCTGACCAATATTCCGGTAATGAGACATTGCCTGTGATCACTGATAATGTTTCTATATGAACGATTTCGTGTGAGCTGCGAGGTAGCAAATACGGTTAGGCAAAATAGTCTGTAATTACTCGCTGGCACTCTGTGCCCCGGACGAGTATAGGTTTCGGCTTGCATTTTTCTTGGATCGTCGATAGCCACAAAATAGAATATTAATGAGCTGCTTGACCTTTTCAAAATGGCGGGGCCTTTCGTGGAGTGGGCAAAATGTTTCAAACAATTCTGGGCCCCATTTTGTGAAAATTTTGGCCGAATTGTACATGTTTTCTATGGATTTTGCATTGTGTCTAACTCTGGACATTCATGCTAGTTTATTTAATGCGTTTTCCTTGATGCGCGACTCTGAAAATCCGAAATTTGGATAGTTGAATTCCCGTGCACGATCATATATTAAATATACTGAATCTGAATATAAACAAGCCAAAGACAATTTCAAGGTAAAAAGTTATTTATTAAAACTACGTTGTGCAGTTTAAGTTATACTACTTTATGAGAAGCATATTGGTGCCATATTAATATCAAATTTATCGAACAACAGTCCATGAAAACAGTCTGTCTGTAGTGTACTCAGTGTGAAATATGATATTGTATTTGTAATGCCTCTTAAAGGCGCAATAATGATAAAAATACCACCGTTCGATTCAGCGTAAGAAGTTGTACTTACGGATGTCAAATGTATTACTAAACTGTAAACATCAGTATTTTAGCGATTTATGGCCTTTGTCTTTGAAAATCAAGCGAAATTGTACTGTTTACATCAAATCACTCGCAGTACGTTTCACGTTTGAAACGCCTTGTATTTGTATTGCCTAATTAATGGCGCAATAAGAATAAAAGTACCACCGTTCGATTCAGCGTAAGAAATTGTACTTACGGATGAGAAATTGTACCTACGGATGTCAAATGTATTACTAAACAACTGACAACAGTATTCTAGCGATATATCATATATGGCCTTTGCTTTGACTTTGTCTTTGAAAGCCAAGCGAAAGCTGCGAAACCCAAATTATCCATAAGGCTCCTGCCAATTTTTACCCAAATTATCCATAAATAACCCTGCGTTTTGAGGAAAATTCGGGAAAATTGAACAATTTTACAAGGAATTTTACCAAAATTGACATGGAAACAGTAACTTCGCATATCGCAAGTTTATATACGTTTGGCTTTTATATATTTTTGGGAAGAAAGCAATCTTTTCAACAATGTTAACGGTAAGTGAATGTGATTTAATTTCAAATACGCTCACCTCGCATGACTCTGCACCTATTCGTGGTAGACCTACACTAAAAGATGCTGAGCGATTTCGAACCGGGTCAATTATCCACGAATCCACAATAAATTCCAGAGATTGCCAAAAGTTTGACAAAAGTTTGACAAAAGTATTACTGAAATCAAAAGTACCACTGAAATCAAAAGTATTACTGAAATCAAAAGTACCACTGAAATGACAAATAATACACAGACAAATATACAAAATACTAACGTAAACTCACAATCAAGTAATTTTTCAAGTTGCTATACTGTCAACGAGCACATGGTCAACATGGTCGCCAGTAGAAAGGCTACAAAGAACATGGACAATGCGATATCGTCTGAACAGATACCAACCAAGAATTTGTCAATAATTTTGAGCAAAGATGATATGGAAAACAAGAATGTGTCCACAGGCACAGATCAATGTATGTCAGGTATAAATATATCTAACAACTGTATTTCTAAATTGAATAACCAGAATATTGAAATAGCAGGTCTGTCAAAAAACTCAAAGCTCAATCCTATGCGTATAAAGAAACTTCCAGTGCGATCACGATATGCATTATTTTATAACGTCTGCTCACAAAAGCATGTTACTGATTTTACTACCACTGGTTGCCATTTACGTCATCGTGACCGTGAACCCAGTAGAATACAATTAAAATGGTTAACTAGGAAGTTTGGAAAAAGTCGATTGTTGAGAAAACGTCTCAGACACAAGATCAAAAGGTCTGTACCCAGATCCTCTCATCTTCATTACATAGTAGAGAATATTATGCATTGTCAAGACATTAGGATGAAGTGTATCCCTGATGTTTACTGCCCAAAGAAGGTTCACAAGAAATGCTGGACAAACCATTCAGCAAAAGACTTAAAATTTTATATTTGTGAAGGAATTCTTGCAGATATATTCTATTTATCAGGTTCAACTCATGATTTATATGCACAACAGGTGTACAAAAATGTCAACCACTTAAAGAATGTCTGTCAGTCAGCATTATGTACAGATATTGAGACGAATCCTGGACCGGTATTCTATATTGATCCCAGGAATACAATCAGTGCACCATATAGCCAAGGTAATCAGATTATATTTGGAGAAACAGCAGGACAGCAGTGTTTAGCAATGTGTTTATGTGCCCTTATATGCAACAAAAAACAGAATATATGCTCACCACAAGACCTGGTTAATATAATGGATATTGGTAATGAACTATATTCAAACTTATCATGTTTAGCACGGCAATCATTTTTATTGTTTACAGAACTGCCTTCACAACTTACAGTATTTGACACAGATTATATTTTTGAGTACAGTGAGAGCTATAGCGGTAATGTAATTGGAGACTGTTCTATTGAAGGGTATCAGTACTGTGTTCCATTTCACAGATCATTTGAATTGCTCCTGGCTGAAAACTATTCTGCATTCATTTTAACAATTGACTCCAATGCTGTTTGCATATTTTCCACCAATGATGGCAAGTATAAAATTTTTGACTCTCATTCAAGAGATATTTATGGCAGAAGTCATCCACAAGGTACATGTGTGTTGTTGGAGGCACCAAATATCAACAATGTAATTCTGTATTTCCAGTCTCTATACAGTGAAAACAGTCAATTTGAGCTAAGAGGAATAAATATTGAAGAAGTACAAGCCAATAGTGACCAAAACTTAAACAACAGCATTAAAAATTCTGTCCTATCAGGTAATGCTTCAGAAGAATCTGAAAGTACTGACGATTCTTGTTTATGTAAACAATGCTGTGCAATTTCATTATACTCGATTTGTTATTCTGTTATTAAACCTTGTAATTACTGGAATTCAAATACAGTGGCCGCAGTTGTTTACTTTGGCACTACTTTGTATAACAACACTGGGATAAATACATCTCGTGATATACCACAAAAAGTTGAAATATATGGAAATGAAATACATGTAAAATTGCAAGCTAATATTCAAGGAGTAGTTTATGACAAGGCAAAAAGCAAACTACACATTGAAAGCCAAATATGTCATACTGATGAAAACACAGGGTTTTTAATTTGGTTTAGAGATTATTGTATTTCTTGCATCTTTCAAAAGACATCCATTAAGAATATGTCATACTCAATATTAGCATATGATGATGATGATAGCTCACCTACATCTACTACACATTACATTAAAAACATAAAAGACAAGCATACTTTAGTTGATGCTATCTTTAGTCTAGCAACCAACAAAGTCAAGGATGAAACTGTCAATTATGAAATTCAATTTTTGTCTTGTTCTTCTGAATTGAGTAACTGTGAAAGAAAAAGGATTATGAAAAACCACAGGCAAAGCTATATAAATGACTTCGTTGAGCCAGCCCGAAAGAAACAAAAGCTAGAAACAAAGCAGATGAAGTACAAAACAATGGCTCAGGAGAAAAAACAAAAACTACTGGAGAATAGAAGAGCTAAATATGAAGCAATGGATCAATCAAAGAAAGAGGTACTGCTTACTAAAAATATGAATTATAAGGAAACAATGGGAGAAGAACAAAAACAGAGACTATTAGAGAATATGAGAGCCAAATACCAAGCAGTGGATATATCGAAGAAAAAGGAGTTGAGCGCTATGAGTTCAAGCAAAACCATGTCAAAACGCATCTTGTTGGATCCAAAACAAAAAAATAATTTGCTGAATAGAGAGAAAGAAAAACGGATGGAAAAGAAATCTCTAACTCATGACATTGACATGTGCATTGAAAAATTTAAAAAACAAATTAAATCTGGCCCTTTTTATATATGCTGTGTGTGTAACCGAACACTATATAAAAAGTCAGTAGTAGTCCTACAGAAAAATAAATATCCTCGCCAAGATTGTTTTATGCTTCAATGTTCTTTTGATGGCAAAAACTACATCTGCAGAACATGCCATGCTAAATTACTTAAAGATCAACAGCCTTGTCAAGCTGTGGTAAACAATTTATTTGTTGATGAAACCCCTACTGAACTTGCTGCGTTAGAGAAACTTGAACAAATTCTGGTTGCCCAGAGAATAGTTTTTGAAAAAATTGTAATAATGCCGAAAGGACAACAAAGAAAAATTAAAGGTGCAATATGTAATGTACCAGTTGAATGTAGTCAAACGTGCAATATTCTTCCCAGACCACCTGACAGATCTGGGATAATTTTACTTAAATTAAAAAGGAAACTTCAATTTAGAGGTCATGTTTACTTTCAAGCAGTTCGCCCTCAGTTTGTAATTAGTGCATTAAACTGGCTTATAACAAACAATCCACCATATAGAAACATTGAAATTCAATGTGACAACATCAGCCCAGAGTTGACTAATTTGAACTGTCCTGTTACAGATCAAGAAAATGTAGACGAGCATTTGCAAACTAATGTAAATAGAGAACTTCTTAATGAAGATGCTGAAGAACAAGATGATCCATTAAATGAACACCGTTCAGCTGCAACTGAAACCTGTCTTCAGTCCATCTTGCCAAACTATCCTGTAAACGTGGACAACAGAAACTGTGATAATTCAACAGGTAGAGAAATTTTCAACATTGCACCAGGTGAAGGTAAACACCCAGTATCATTGATGACTGATAAACTTTGTGAGGAACTTTCATTTCCAGTACTGTTTCCAAAAGGACGATTTGGGTATACCGTTGAACGAGACATAAAATTATCTCCAATAAAATATTTCAATGCTCGCCTCTTGCATTATAGTGGGAAATTTGCAACCAATCCAGAGTATTTATTCTTTGCACAATTCATTATGGAACAGAAAAAGATCTCTGATAGTATAAATATAGCTCTTAAAAAAATACATGGGCAGTCAGTCACAGCATCACAAGTAAAATCAAACAGTCAAGCTTTTCAAAATCTTCTTTTGCAAGATCAAGCATATTTGTTTTTACGACAAATTCCTGGCTCACCTCCTTACTGGCAAAAATTCATGTATGAAGTGGTAGCAATGGTTAAACAACTGGGAATACCAACATGGTTTATGACGCTTTCATGTGCAGACTTAAGATGGCCTGAGCTATTTCAGATTATTGCAAGGACAAAAGGCAACAACATGACAGATGAAGAAGTGGACGCTCTGTCCTATCATGAGCGATGCTCCATGTTAAATTTAAATCCAGTTATTGTAGCTAAACATTTCCAGTATCGAGTCGAAACATTTTTCAGAGATGTTTTGCTTACAAATGCAAACCCAATTGGCAAGATAGTATATTATGCACTCCGTATTGAATTTCAAATGAGAGGTTCACCACATTTGCATGCCTTAATATGGACATCTGATTGCCCAGACTTAACGAATGATACAAAAGATGCATACATAGATTACATTGACCAACATGTTCAAGCATACCTCCCAGACAAAGAAACAGATCCTCAACTTTATGACTTGGTGAAAACATACCAGACACATAATCACAGTAAAACCTGTAGAAAGTATAAGAACGTTGCATGTAGATTTAACTTTGGACAGTTTTTTACTGACAAAACAATTGTTGCTGAACCTTTGGCAGAAGATATGGATGAAGAGATTAAATCCAATATTCTAACTAGACGAAAGGAAATTTTGTCCAAAGTTAAACAAAAAATTGATGATGTGCTAAACCCAAGCAAACCTACTTATGATCCACATGCAACTCCAACTGCCATCCTAAATGATATAGATATTACAGAGCAAGACTATCAATGGGCTATATCATTATCTCCAGACTCTGACTATGAATTGCACCTCAGAAGACCAATAGATAGTTGTTTTATCAACAATTATTTTATTGCTGGGTTAAAAGGATTTGCCGCAAATGTTGACTTGCAACCAGTGTTTAATCATTACAAGTGTATCACATACGTTTGTTCTTACTTTACAAAGGATGAAACTGAATGTTCTCAAGCCATCATGAATGCAGCAAAGGAGGCTAAAGAAGCCAACTTAAATGTAAGAGATGGCCTAAGAAAAATAGGTGCAGCTTTTCTCTCGACTCGTGAAGTCAGTGCTCAAGAATGCGTTTACAGATGTATGCCTGAACTCTGGTTAAGAAAAACATTCCCGAAAACCTTCTTTGTTAGCACGGATTTTGCTGAAAATCGCGTTAGATTTGCAAAGAAACAACAAGAACTTGATGAGTTAGATGATGATAGTATTGACATTTTTAAGTCTAACATTATTGTCCGTTACAGTGACAGACCGAAAAACATTCCTGTCGTTAATGATATGTGTTTAGCTTTATTTGCTGCTCACTATTTCAAAGATTACAAAAGTGATTTTAACGAAGTATCTGATTCTCAACCTGAAGTGTTAAGCGATGACTTCATTGAATCTCAAAATATCGAAAATCATAACACTGGACTTCCCGATCGAATAAAACTTGTAAACAGTAAAGAGATTATAAAGTGCAGAAAAATTAAAGCTGTCATTCGATATCACACTCCAAACAAAAGAAAAGAGCCTGAAAAATATTTTCACCACCTTCTCATGTTGTATTTTCCGTGGCGTAATGAGCAGGAACTCTTTGACGAAGACCAGACATACATATCTAAGTTTTATGAGCCAGATGTTCAAGAAGTAGTACAACGCAACAAAGAAATATTTGAACCAGATGGTGATGCAATTAATGAAGCACTAGAAAGTTTACGAAACTTTGATGGCGTACCAACTCACTCCTATGATCCAATAAATGACCAGGAAAATGAAGATTTGCGACAAAGTTTGCCTGACGATTCTGATGAAACCGAGTCCTTTAACGAATCGTTGCCACAACATCTTGCATCAAATCCTGAATCAGTTCAACCATCTTCTGGAATAAGTTCTTATAATCAACCCTTAGAAATCAGTGACGACGATCTACGAAAAACTGT